TGGACTATATGACGCCAAATTGGTCCAGGCGATGTTCCTCCGTTCGGTACAAACAGGCCTAAGAGACAACAACATCAGAATGGAAATGAAGCCGCACCTGGTAGCCAACTCCAACAGTAGCGACATCCTACTGTTGGAGAAGTTGAGCCGAGCCATCGTGGACCAGAAAGAACGGGACGAAAAGCTCGCATCAACAAGCTCACCTCAACAAGCTCACGTCAACAAGGTCACTGTAACAAGCCCGCGGTGCAACCAATGTACACAACAGGGGATGGAGCTGTGCCGTCATTGTTTCAGGTGTGGGGGAAACAACCACATCGCTCGGTGGTGCCGAACACCAAACAAGAACCAGGGAAACGCTTCAGGGGCACCCCAAGGGGACGAGGGGTCGTCCTAGGCAGCTCACAACCGTCCCAGAAACGACAACAACAAACAACACCAAATAATAACAATCAACAGCCCTCGGTAACAACAACTAACAACAAACAACAACAACAAACAGCAACAGCAAACAACAATCAACAGCAATCGGTTCACGTCAACGCCATGACTGCGTCACATCTAACACCAAAACAAAGAACTAAAATAACAAAGTTAGTCGGGAATCGGTGCCTGGTGTCGTGTAAGATGGATGACCAGCCAGTCCTGGCATTATGGGACACCGGTGCACAAGTGAGTATCATGACAGATACGTGGAGAGAGAAGAATTTACCAGAGATCAAGGTCAGACCAGTAATAGAGATACTTGAGGACACAGCAAGCCTCAACTTACAGGCGGCAAATGGTACAGAGATCCCATACAGTGGATGGGTAGAGGTCAGTTTTAAACTAAGCGAAGATGACTCACCAGCTATCTCTGTGCCATTTCTGACAACCAACAGCCCTAGCCAGGACCATCCGATAATTGGATACAACGTCATCGAAGAAATCCAAAAGCGCTGTGGGAGTGACTCTGCCCTGCTGTCGAGGGCGCTGCCGGTTCGGCCACAGAGGGCGGCGGCCCTGGTTAACTTGATAGAAGAGTTCAGCGTCCCGAACCCGGCAGGAGTGCGGGTCGGCAGGAAGAGAGTTCGGCTACCACGAGGGGCAACAGTTCAAGTTAGGTGCAGGATTCCTCGTGGCTCAGTGGAGGAGAAACAGATCATGCTGTTTGAACCAGATGAAGCCGGTGATTGGCCCACGGGCCTGGAGGTGGGACCGGCACTCATCCCAGTTAACTCAACGGGGATGATCAAGGTGCCTGTAACTAATTCCAACCAATATGATGTCTATCTGCCGGCAAAGACAGTGTTGGGTCGAGCTGAACCAATACGATCAGCAGTACCGGTTGAGCTGAGGAGAGTGCCTGAGGGATCTCAACACCCAACAACTGAGGACAGGAGACCAGTGAGCGAAGAACCACAGCAAAACACCTACAGCAAGCTCAAGTAAACACGGTTCAGGCAGAAGATGAGTTGTGGGACCCTCCAGTTGACCTGTCACACTTGAGCGAGGAGCAGAGGAAGATTGTGAAACAGATGCTCCGGGAGGAATCAGGTGCATTTTCTCGAGATGAGTCTGATATCGGCAGTATTGAAGGTCTCAAGCTGAAACTCAACTTGACAGACACAGAGCCAGTGCAAAAGATTACGTCTCCATCCCAGCACCTCTGTATAAAGAAGTGAGGGAGTATATTGAGGACCTCATCAACCGAGGGGTGGATTACCAAATCAAAGTCACCCTACTCCTCGCCGATGGTATGCGTTCGAAAGAAGGATGGGAGCATGAGGCTCTGCATTGACTACCGCGCCTTGAACGAGAGACA